CGTTTGGCAGAAATGTTCATCGCGAGCTGTCATGAGAGGTTCTTGTTAGAGAAGGTTGAATCTTACAGAAGATTCGAAGAAATGTTGGCGAGGAGTATGTGAGCATTGAGAATGAGAACGACGACAAAGAGTTTGTTTTATTTTGTTTTAAGCTAATTCTAGTTTGATATATATATGTCTTATAGATTAATAAAATTGGCTTCAAAACATAAACTTAAAAGTAAAATGAAAAGAAAACAAAAGCTCTAGCTCATGATTTTGCCATATGTACGTAGTCAAAAGATCTTATACTATGATCATCATCACTAAACACATTTTGCTGATTTAGAGATAGAGACAACTACAAAAGATGTCCCAAAACTAGACTTAACCTAATAAATGGTTTGCCTCATACTCCTAATCATCGACATTGTTTCCATTATGCATCAACATCATACCCTAACTTGTTAGCCAAAAAGAGAATATATATAGAGCTAATTAAGTAGTACAATAACTAAATCACCTCCTTACACGTTTCTTCAAGCGCGTAGAAGAATACGAACCTCCCTCCTTTTCATGACCAGCTTCTCTGCTTCGCTTTCCCAGAATCGGAGAAGAAGAAGATGGGGCAGCTACTCTTTTCATGGCTCGACCATTGTTTTTCTTCACAGGACTTGTTTGGTTTTTCCCTGTTGTTGTTGCTCGTTTCTTAGCACCGGCTTTGTTGCTGTTGTTACTCTTGTTCTTCCTCTGTTCTGCGCCTCCTTTTCCGGTACTTGAAGAATCAGTCGCAGAGCTTGGCTTCAATGTCTCAACCAAAGTATCAGACGAAGAAGAACCCACTCTCATTCTCTTGAGAAAACTCGCAGCAGCACTTTTCTTTTTCGAGCTTCCACTTTTATTACTACCTTTCTTCTCTTCATCAGTTTTCTTAACCTCATCAACATTCAAACCCGAATCACGGTTCTTGACGTTCCTGATTGCTACTTTTTTAGTCGAGGTGGTTCTTCCTCTCGTCATCTTCTTCGAAACCAGAGACTTATCATCATCGTCTTCTCCAAAGGTTTCATCTTTCTTGTCTGATCCAGGAGGCAATGGTTTAGTAGCCAATGAGCTACGTTTCCGACAAGCTACAATAGGAACAGACATTCTTGGCTTCGAAGAAACCGGCTTTGAAGAAGAGACTGTATTAACAGTTTCTACAAATGGAACTAACTCCAAGCAGGAATTCGCTTTTGGTGGTGAGATCTCTTTAGGTTTCTTCTTGATAGTAGTAGTAGTAATCTGTTTCTTGACGAGTTCGTTGAGCTGAACTGCGAAATTAAACTCAGAAGTTTTCTTTGGGTAAAAGAATCTTGCATTGTTGATTAGTAGAAGCAAATCGCGAAACAATTTGTTCATCGAGCTTTTGTACCACCCTTCTTCGACTCGCTTCCGGATTATCTCCAAGTCTATGTGCTCTCTAATGATCTTACTGTACTCGAGTGTTTCCTGCAGTAAGTAGAATGATGCCATTAGAACAGTGCAGAAGGAGAAAACATGATTTTAAAACTAAAAATATATTACTCCGTCTAATCCTAACATAATACTCCCTATTTCAAAATATAAATTGTTTTGGCAAAAAGTTCGAATATTAAAAAACTACTTTTCTTCTAAAAAATATTAAGTAATTTTTTTCATTTTTTGTTCTTGTTCCATGGATTTGTATCCACTTTCGTTAATAATTGATGTTAATATAACTTATAAATTTGACAAATACTAACTAAAATATTTCCATAAATTATACATTTTTTCAAAATTATAAACTAAACTATTTTCAAAAGAATTAAGATTATTTTTTCAAAAAAAAGAAAATCTAAATTTTAATTTTTCACCTGGGTTTCGAGTCGGCGCGAAAAGTGGGAGCCACAGGGATTAGACAGAAGAATCTCGACGAAACTAATCGACGGCTGAGATTCGACGGGAAATAAATCTTTGGTGCTCGGCGACTGATCTTCGTTCTCCGGTTCCGACGTTCCTTTTCTCGGCAAGCTCGCCGAGCTCTGCACATCACTCGTCTCCTTCCCTCCTTCATCTCCACCGTTCCCTCCTCCTTCCGACTCAGCCATCGACTCAGTTAACTCGGTCCTTCTCCCCGGTTCAACTCTCTCCGAGTTCTCCGCGGATTCCTTCTCAACACCCTCACAGCTCCCTCTACACGAATCTTCTCCGGCAAGCTTCGCTTCTCCACCGTCGTCGAGTCCGACCATTTCCTCGTCCCTCTTCGCGTTCTCCGATCCAGTCCCAGGACTATCCTCTTTCGGATCTGGGGAAATGGAACCGTTCACTGACGTAATCGGTGGCTTTGGGACCACCGGTTCGGCGGAATCGCTAACCGATTCCCGGCGATGCTCCTTCTTCTCAACGATTTTATCTAGATCTGGAGAGTTCTCGATTTCCGTGTCTAGCTCGTTTAAGCTTATCTCTCTCTCTTCTTCCAATTTCTTCACCTTCGATTGCAACGACCTGCATCACGAAATCTCTCGATTAAAGAAAAAATCTGAAGTAACAATCCACAAATCTCTACAAGGAAAAAAAAAAGCATGGTCGATTGGGATTTTACGAGATGGATAGATCGTATTGTTCGACTTCGCGACGGAGTTCATCGACTCGGAGCTTCCTCAAGTCCTCTAGCCAAGGAACGGTTGAGATCTCGGCGACGGATTCCGGTAAACCCAGTTCTTGTGTGAATCTGCATTTGAGGTCGGTGTATTTGTTCCGGCAATCGGAGGCGGTGAGTGAACGGAGATTAGTAGTCCGTTTTTGGATTTCGGAGGAAACGGAGTTCCATGAGTCGGTACCGTGACGGTGCACGGCGCATGCGAGGAGAAGCTCTTCCCATGTTCCCCATGTTTGTTGTTTCTCGGGAGTCGTGTCGTCATTTTCCGGTTTAGCCATTGAAGCAGAAACTAT